ACCAAGCAGCTCCAATGAGTTGGGCACCAGAGGCCGCGGCGAGATCATGCCCTCGTCAGTATCATGAAGTCCGAGCTATATGACACTTAAAGTAGGAAGATTGGAGTGAGGAAAGTCAGGCAATTTGACGCGTCATACACCCCAGTGAAAGAAGTGGTTATTACTCAGCGACAAAGCCACTGAATAACTTCAATAATTGAGCATACGTCTTACCTCGAGGATCAGAACCATGCTTTCTGTATTCAGCAGTTTCAGCGCAAGTACTAAGGGAAAATATTTGAGTGGAAGCCGTTATAGCCACTCAGTCAGTCTTTGCCCGACTTGCATCCCTCATGCAAGTCATGTTTCTCCAGACGCCGGCCGGTGCAACCTCTTTCCGACAATGTCGGCGGCATGTAACCACAGAATCATGGTTTCAATGCCTGGCCTTGATTGCCGAGTTGAGCCTTCACGGAGAGAATGATCAGTCCGGTTTCATCTCCACAGACTCTCAGCCCGGTTTGCCGGCGGGATCAGGCTTCGATGTAGAGAACCCTATCCCCCCACACCGCCTCTTACATGTGGCGTTCAGCTGATATCCAGACAAGTAATGATTTGACGATACATGAAAGTCTCAGGAAAGAAAAGGGGGGTTGGGTGGTTTTGGTAGTCGCGGGTCGGGGAGTGGAGGGTGGAGGGGAAAGCTGCAGGAGAATTAATTCTGCTGCCTGGAGGAGGGACGGATATGCCGCGCCGGGGATTGAGGACGACGTGGTGGACGCTAGTGCATGTCGAACGATAGTCGGACCTTCTTCTGAGATCTACTGCATTCAAGACGGGTTACTGATCCTACGGTAAAAGTAATTCGGTTTCGTGGCTTTGAGGGAAAGGGTTTTGCTTGTTTGGTTGGTTCTTGGTGCCGACGATGGTTCGGACATGTGCTTGAGCAAGGTTGATGATCCTGCGAAGATGCGGGAAGGAAGCGGTGATGGGTCTCATTTGGGCTACTCAAAATACTCTTTAGATTTTACAACAATTCGTTCCAGAGGTAGGCTCCATATATTCTGCGGGAATGTCGTTGAGGTCTACAACGGACTTCATCTCCGAAGGGGGCTTGGGGGACGGCATTTCTCGTCTAGGGCATTTCTTCTATTCATTATAACCTCGCTACGCCGGCTTTATGGATCCCCGGAGTCAAACTATCTATTCTTACCCGAAAAAGACATGTTCTGTTGTAACCTCTATCGTCTACACCCCCTTCATCCAATAACCTTCTGCATAGCCTCAACATCCATCTCAACCCTCGGCTCCATCTGCATCGGGACGACCATGCCACCCGCAGCCAGCGCACCGCTCGCCGCCGCCGTCGCAACGGCCTTGACCATATTCCCGCAGTCTCCCACGGCGTAGACCCCGGGAACGCTCGTCTCCCCAAAAGGGGCAGCCGTCTTGATATCCCCGTTCTCCGCCGTCTCCAACCCAAGCTGCTCCACAAAGGGACCGTTGGGCCTTGTGAACGGCGCGTGAGCGAGGAAGCCCTCCGTGACTTCTTCTTCTCCTTCGTCTTGCCGCCCACTAAGTGTGAGTGTCACGCTGGTGCTGTGCTCCCCGCTGCTCGTGGCCATGCGCATCGATGTGATTTTCCGTGTGTCAATGGTAAAGGGGTTATTGGCCATGGCACCAATCTCTGAAGCGAGAGTCTCGTTGCCGTGCGTGTAAATCGTCACCTTCTTGCCCAGGGGCCGAGCCATGTACGCGATATGCGTCGCCATCTTGACGCTTCCCGTCAACCCGAAAGCGAGAACGCCTACCCTCTCCGTCCCGCGCTCCTCGAAGCCGTGGCAAAAGAGACAGTGAAAGGTGCCGTAGCCCCAACAGTCCGCGTAGCCTGCGATGTCTGGAGAAATATCCGTGACACCGGTAGCCAGGACTAAGCGCCGTCCAAACCACGCCTTGCCATGCTTATCCTCGGCCCTAAAGAGCCCGTCCCTGACTTTGGTCGTCTTGACGACCTCGACGCCGTCGGCGAAAGTCACGGTCTCGGCGTAGCGGGCTTTGAGGTCCTCGCGGGCCTTGGCGCGGAAAATTGGGGGAGGGACGTGGTCGAAGCCGAGGACGTTGTGCATGTTGCTCGCGCGGGCGTTGCGGTAGAGGTTTGAGTCGAAGAGGACGGTGGTGTAGAGCTGGCGGGAGAGGGCTGTTGCTGTGGCGAGGCCTGCTGGGCCTGCGCCTATGATGAGTACGTCGTGGAGGGCTGAGGTGGACATGTTGCATGTGACGATGTTTGTTGTTAGCGGGAGTGCTTTGATGAGGGTTTTGTAGAGGTTGTTCATGTAAGTTGTATTCTGGTTGTGTTGTGGTGTAAGCTTGGAAAATGGGGTTCGTGTACTTGATGAGGTTGCGATATTCCAGGCAATGATTGAGGCTCTCTTGTCGTCTTATATGCTCTTCCAAGTGAAGAACGGGCGTGCCGGCGTGAGGCGCGGCATTGCGGGATGTCTCCGAGGCCGTGAAATGTTGCCGAGAAGATCGGATCCGAAGTGGGGCGACCTGGCCGGGCAAGACAAATGTCTCCGAGGAAAGGTGCCGAGTGATGAACGAGCAAGTTTCAGAGCCAGCAGCATGGCATGACTCACTCTTAGGGAAATTGATTACATATCGCACATGAACTTGAGTTGTTCTCCATAGTATTCGCCGTACGAAGGGATCATGTGCCGTACCTGTCCTCATGTTGTCGGTTAATTGCGGTAGAACTGGCGCCATGGAGGAGAGACAGCGAACAATCCACTCCACTTATTTTTTCGCTTGCATTCTGATTGATACGATTGGTAAGATTCATGACTTGAATTGTACGCGATTGTTTTAGTAGGTAGTGAGAAACGGAATGAGGTTCGGTCCCTGGGCATGTCTCGTAAGCACTGCTCTCATGATCACCTCCCGTCGAAATGAAGTTATAGATACATAAGACTCCTACTGATGAAGCCAATGTGAGAAAACATAGGTGTAGACGGGAGAAAAAGGGCTTTCATGATCAAATCGATAGTGAAATGTTACAAGTTGCTATCGACAGTTTGAGAAGAACCCAATATCAAGCCCACAACAGCGGAAACGAAAGAAGAATACAACTTATACTACAAGCGTATGAGCGAGAAACTCTTCAGCCAAGACAAAATTGCAAGAAAGTGCAAAAGGAGAGTAGTCAGAGCGGGGAGTGGAACTCATGGGATCGAGGTCCATCTCTTGAGACATATGTGGAAACCCCGCGTTCCCAGCTGAGTGTTCCACCACTGGGCCACAGCGCCCAGGGGAGCTGTACCCCGGTTTGCTTGTTGGAAGGGAGAGAGCAGGTTGGCAATAAAGGCTAGCTCTTGTCGACGTATTGATGCAACCTTGATGGGTTGAGGGGGTTGATGGGTGAAAGTGAGGCTGTTCGTGAGGATAGAGTTGGGGGGGGGGGGAGGGCTTGGTTTTGGTCGAGATGGCGTCGCGGCGGCATGGGGTTTCGGTGTTTAGAGGATGGAATTTGCTCGAGAAAGTAATGAGGATTCGTTTTGTGGGTGCTGGTTGGTTTCTCCCAGGGCTATCAATTGGTACCAACGTGACCGGAAACTTGATCAGGAGAAAACGGGGCTCAATCTTGCTCCGCTTGATATATCAATTGCTGACGAGCGTAGGCCATTCCTACTAAATCATCGCAAGTCCATTCTTACTGTCTCCTCACCGAGGAAGCGATAACCATCTTCCTATCTAAACCCCCAGCCTTCCCAGAAGCCTCCTCCGGAATATGACTGACCTCTTCATTCTCAACATACGCAAACTTCCCCTCGTCACACCCAGCATCTCGGAACCAACCCCAGAAAAGCTCCTCGCTGAAGACCAGATGCCGATTCGTAGTCTTGAGAACATCGTGTTGGTGGATCTCATGCTCATGAGCTTTACCTCCATGCCGTTCAGATTCTTTCCCTCCCTTCTCATCTCCCTTCTCGAGCATCTCACTCTCCGACCTCGTAGCTTTATAATCAACCCCCTCAACAGCAATCAAAATCCCACCAGGCCTCACCCTCTTCGCAAGCAGATCCAACATCCCCCGCGGATCATCAAGGTGATGAAGCGCCATGGATATGATAGCCACATCAAATCCCCCCTCTGCAGCCAGCTCTCCATCCAAAGCCAAATCGCCCACGACGGCGTGGACCTGCTCTGGAGAGTATCCTAGCCGCGCCGCGCAGTCGTTGTAGCGCCGTACGATGGCGGGTGCGATGTCGATGCCGAGGATCGAGTCGACATAGGGGCTGAGTGCCTGTGGTTATGCATCGTCTTGTCAGAGGGTGTCGTGGCTGAGGGAGGGATACGTAGACGCAGGGGTATATGTTAGTTACCCAAGAAGCACCGCCAGAGGCGCAAGCGTAGTCCAAAAGCCGGACTGGGTTCGACGACGGATTTGTATCGCGGGGCCGGAGGCCTAGGTTCGGGGCTTGGGCGCGGAGGAAGCGGGTGAGTTGTTCGGAGAAGACCTTGATCCAGTCCTGTTCTAGGAAGGTGTCTGCGTTTGCACTGAGAGTCATATTAATGTTAGCTTCATAGCTTGAGAGAAGGGGTTCAAACTTGGAGGAAATCGGGGCTGACAAACTCCCAGAAGACGCGGTTGAGTTCGGCTAGAGAGGCTGTCTTGGACTCGGTCGTGGTCATGATTGCAGCTGTAGTTGTTTGATGGCTTTTTATGTAGTCTATTTTTGGTGCTTAAAGGATCTATAGTAGTCGCTTTAGCGATTCTGGGCGTCTTTATATAATGGACACCATTTCAGCTCGCCCATTCGTTATCCTGCGGTTGTGTTGTGTGGTTGTGTGGTTGTCTGTGATGCCGGAGAGTATTCGGCAACTTTTCCATCAAGGTGCACGCATAAGCGGCAACATTGCGGTGACATCTCGAAACCACCAAGCTGACCACCGCGAGACGTTTCCCAAAACTATGGAAACGGCATTTTTCTCATCTCGCCTTGTATGACCAAAGTCGTGGTTCCTCACATGACTTGTCCCACAGGCTCAATGGCAGCAGCAGGCCGCCTTCGGCCCTCGCCCATCTCATACATCGCCCACTCGTACACTGCCCACTGAACCGCGTTGACGACGAAGGCGCGCACGCTGCAGACCGTGAGCCCACGGAAGAAGACTCGCATCCCGCCCTCGCGGTAGGCTTCTCTCGCGACCTGCATTGCGCCTGCACGCTTCGCTGGCTGCTGTTGTTGCTGCTGCTGCTGCTGCGATAGCCCTTGTGCCGCAAGCAAAGGTGACCTCTCGGGTGATTGTGCCTGTGCCTGAAACGCCTGCGTCTGGACGCGGGTCTTGATGACGTCGAGCGGGAAGATGCTCACCCACGTCACAATGCCCGCGAGACCACCACAGAGCAACACCTTGGCGGCCTCCTCTCTCAGATTCGTCTCCTTCACGCCGTCGCCCCCGACGCCCATCCATCGCGTGGTGATTTCGTACGACCAAAAGTAAAACCCGTACCCGACGCTATCCCGCAGCGCAGTCACCACGCCGCCAAAGTAGAGACCCCTGATCCCCTCGGCGCGCCAGACGTCCTTGGTGATGGCCCAGCTCGAGGCGGGCGGGGAGGAGAGCTGGGCGCGGCACTTGATCAGCTCTGTCGGGGTGCTCACGACCCAGGTGGCGAGGCCGCCGACGGCGCCGGCGAGCCAGGTGGTCCAGAGGCTGGACTGGACGTCGAGGGCGCGGTTGAGGGCGGCCTCTGTGCGGTTGTAGGAGACGAAGAGGAGGGCGTTGAGGGCGCCGTAGCCTAGGATCGGGGCGGCGGAGCCGGTGACGAGGGAGGCGGGGGATTCGAAGTGGCGGAGGTAGGATGCCGCTGCGGCCGCGGTTGGGCTCGGGAGCGGGAGCGGGGAGGAGGCGGAGGGGAGGGGTGTCGAGGGGGCGGAGGCCGGGCGAGCTTGGAGGCGGACTTTGAGGAGGTCGAGAGGGTTGCCGATGATGATGCCTACGGCGCCGCTTATGTAGCCTGCCCAGAAGTCGGCGGACATGGTGGGCAGCTGGCTGGGACAGGATCGTTCTGTTGCGAGGCGGTAGTCAAGTAGTGATTGTAGCTAGTAGAAGGTGTTCGAGTACGTTAGGAATCGCGGTACTGAAGGCGGTTATCAGGGTCGAGGTAGTGATTGACTTTGGCTTGGGCGACGGCGATTCCGGTGCATATGCCGAGGTAGGTGAGCATCCATCCGCCAGAGGCTAGAGCCCAGAAGCGGGCATTCTTGACGGGGTTCGGGTGCGGGCTGCGGACGCGGGAGAGGTACTGGTAGTGTGCGTAGTGGGTGAGGACGGTGCCGCCGAGGACGTAGGGCCAGTTGTCGACGATCCAGAAGATGCGGGCAGAAGGTGGACGGAGCGGGGTGGTCCCGGGGGAGGGGTCGGCCATTATGGAGTACTAGGATAATAGATAGATAGAGCGAGAGTGAGGGAGAGCCGTGCTTTGTTTCGTTTGAGACGAGGGACCGAGGGAAGCTTGGTGAGAGAAAGCGGAGAGGTGCCGGGGGACCGGGGGGGGGGGGTTCCTTGGGATCCACCCAGACTAGAGACGTTGCGGGCGAGCGTCTCCGTACGAACTACGAATAGGTGTGGCCGTGGTGGTGGTGTTTTGTTGCGGAGCATGTGAAGATGGAGCTATTGTTAGGCGTGGGGGGATCAATGTCGATGACTCGATATGCAGCTCTGAAGTCAATTGAGTTTTATAACAATCCAATTGATGTTGCAAACAGTCTGCGTATCTTGAGACAAGAATGTGCCTGGCGCAAAGAAACGTTGGAATGTGCGGCTTGCGCTGAGGGTGTCGCGTTGAAGATTTCGAGTTGGGGGCCGCAGAAGTTAAGGTGGACGCGTGCGACAGGCCCCTGCCGTCTGGCCCAATGTCTCACCTGATTTTGGCTGTGAACAGGTACCCTAGAACGCTCCCATTGTATTGTGGGGGTCACCTTGTTACTCGCCAATTCGGGGGAATCTCGGTAAGCCTCGGTATAACACTCACCGAAGTACCCGTGGATTCAACATTGCTCAGTTCTTGACTCGTTGCATAGTAGCTCTATCTTTATTCGCACACATCGAGGAGCGAAGATGGATTGCAACTAATATATGAAAATCACCATAAATCCTACCTAGCAAAGCTGTCACTGGATGCAGACATCTTCCCACAGCATATCCTCACCAACAGCCTCCCCGTGCATGATGCCGTGCACGTAAGCTTCCCCAATCAACCGATAACTGAAAGGCCTAGAGATAGAAGAAGCCGGCAGCTCTCGAAGCACAAGAGGTGACGGACAGCCGGCCACCACCCAAATCCCATCCCCCTCTTGCACGGATTGGCCTCCAAGTCCCATATGGCTACTATCCGTTAGGAATGGCCGCCTCTCCCAGAGCGTCTCAAAAGCGAGATTCACGTACACCTGACAAGTGTGCTTGAAGCGATCGAACAGGCCTTCAACTTGCTCCTGCTCCTCGCACTCCTTGAGCTGCTTCAGATATCCCATAATCACATCACACGAGGGCACCGTCTTGCTGATATCCGACGCCGCAAGTCTCTTGATGCTGTCTAGACGGCTGATGCGTTCTTCAATGTCGGCGCCTTTCTTCATGGCGCAGTACACCTCCCACACAACGTGGTCCGCAATCCACGAATGGAACGCCTTTTGGAGGCTGCCGGGTGCGGGGTGTGTGAACCCATCTCGGTCACCGATTAACGTCCTCCAGAATGCCTCTACTCGGCACTGCCCTGTCGGCTTATAGACGGGGTCACACTGCAAGAGGAAGTCGGCCCATTGCGTGAAGCTTCCGTTCGTAGCTAGTTCCGAGTATACCTCGCCTACTAACGATACTGTGCCAACGCACAAAGCCTTGACGTGGAGTTGCCTATCATCGACGACACGGTACTTCGTCGGCATGGAACGACAGGCATCAAAGTAAGGGATCTCAGCGGGCCACCTCATCGCCAGAAAGGCAGATGGTCCGTTTGCAGAGAAATCGGGCACCCAGGACGGCAGAGCCTGGATGTTCTTGACCGAGTCGTCGGGAACCGCCGTGAGCAGAGCCAGATTCTTGCATTCTTCCATAATGGAGACCGCCGTGTCGGTGTAGATGCTGACGGGCGTGCAGTGTTTGCGGTAGTTGGCCTCCAGCTCCGTCCTTGTGCGACCACTAAGATCCAAGAGGAGGTTGAGAATGCCCAGTAGACCAAAGACTTGGTCTCTTGGGTCGGTGGCTTCCACCCCGACCGTCAGGCGTAGCATCAAAAACAACAGCGCACCGGCTGTCTTGGTTCTGCTGCTTCCACCCGTGCAGGCGAAAGGACCGACTATGTGGTCCAGCGTGGTGCTGTCCCACATATCGAGTATGTCGTGTCTACACCTCTGGATTGCGACAATGCCCGACGAGTTGCTGCCGATCTTGACGTCCTTGATTGTAGGGTTGTTATCGTACAAGACTTCTGACAATTGCTCGTACAGACGACTTTCGTACAAAAAGTCGGAGCAATACGCCACCGTCTCCCACGGAATAACATCGTTGCCCCAGAGGATACATGCGTCTCTTGACAAGGCGACCTCTTGGACGACCCAAACACGATTAAACCACTTGCGTTCGAAAAAGGCGACGAATGCGTACCATACGTCATCGGGTACATGCAGCAAGCCATATCTGCTCAGAGCATCGTCGTCAAAGAAGGAGTTCTCTTGGTCGAAGCTGAAGTTCCGCTGAGTATTTTCTGCCATTGTGCGAACCAATCGAGATACCTCGGCTGGGTGGTGCTCGTCAGTGACGGAGCCTAGCCATATGTCGACGCGGGTAGCCTTTTTGTAGATGCGATCCATGATGCCAACTTGCATGCTCCTCTCGGTATCATCGGCCTGGTTGATGCTGATGGCGTCGATCCAGTACAGGTCGCAGGAGTTGTGCGCTCTGATCCAGCACAGTGCATCGTGTAGGTTCGGGAAGATGTCAAAACTTTGGCCGTTGAGCATCACTGAGACTGTTACGAGCTGATGTCCGATTTGCCAAGAGGGCTCCTTTTCTGCGAGGGGGGATCCCCATGTGTAAGAGAGGCCACGGTAAGTTGGCAGGTCACCAAGGGCGTGTTCCTCCAGTGAAAGCTGCAACGGTCCATCGTCAGTTGCTCCGCAGCCTAGGATGCGCACAAGACGGATGGTCTCCTTGCCGATACGGTGACTGTATTCGAATTTTGCTATTCCGGACGACATGACTGAAGATTGGGAAGCATCCGATACAGTATTTGCTTTCTCATCATCTTCGCCAGATAGAAAGGTTTATAGGAGAGCTCGAAAGCTTTTGAAGTCACCAAATTGGGCGGAAGCCAAGCAGTCATGGCTTAGTTAGCCACGTATGATCATGGTAGAATCGTCAGCTGCATCGTTAGGACCAAGACTAAAATGACGCCAACTTTGGTTCTCACGCACGGCTTCACCGCGCCGAACTATTGGCCAATCATTGGGGACATTTTGGTAGCGAAAGATGCCACTTGACATTACAATTCTGACGAAGGACCGGGAAGAAGATTGACGCGCCAAGTTGTCGCTGAGTGTCCCGTGAAGTTATACCCTTCAACATCGACATGTTGTTGTTTGGGGGGGGGGGGGGGTGGAGGAGGAGGAAGCTGTGTGTAAGTGAGCACAGACAATCTAGAACCTTACCTAGTGGATGAACCCCACAAAAGAAAGCCTTAGATAAGCAGGAGTGGTGAGGTAAGCAGATTAAATAGATGGGCCCTGGTGCCTGGTGCACGTGAAAGCGTGTTTGAGTGGCGACGCGGGTCGAGTCGCGCTTTGCCCCAAATCAACACCGGGCCCTCCGACCAGGAACATTGCTCTTATTCTCTTCCCTCCATCTTCGTCCGCCACTTCTCTGCTGCTCTCTGCGAAGCCTTACCCCCGGGATTGCGCATACACTGCACCTGCAGCATTGCTACACCACAAACCGCGGTTCACAATGTACGCAACTCTAGTCAATGATTCTCCAACTAACACGGCACTGTATTAACCCCTCCATAGGACTGTCGACGTCACCGCCACCCCGATCGCGAACAAGGAGAACGTGCCGTCTAAGCGATGGCCGACTCCCCAGTCGGTCGATAAGTTGTCAAGACCGTTCAAATGCCCTGGTTCAGCAACGAGAACAGTCGCAACCGACAGACCGGCGCGCAAGAAGAGAAGGGTCGATTACAAGGGCGCTGATGGCGAGACTGACGCCGACAAGCCCTACACAAATGCCGATCGCCTAGCTTTAGCGAACCGAGATGCAAACAGATTCCCCGTTTTCCAGGCCAAGGACAAGTCAACAGTATTTCGCAAGGCATTCTCGGTGCCTCTGATCAACAAGAATACCAGTGCTTATAACCCGAATCGACCTCCGCCAACCCTTGGCCTGCGCACGGGAGCCCAATTCATTGCCAAGCCGTTGCACGACCCCAGTGGCGAGTTTGCCATTGTGCTATACGATCCGACTATCGATGATAAGCCCAAAGAGCCCGAGAAGAAGGAAGACAAGAAGGAAGCCGAGGCCGAGACTAAGATTGACGCGCCTCTCGTCCACAAGAGTCTGGCTGAGATTCTCGGAATCAAGAAGAAGGTCGAAGGGGAGCACCCCCGAGTTCCTGTTGTAATCGACCCACGGTTGGCCAAGGTTCTCAGACCACACCAGGTCGAGGGTGTCAAGTTTATGTACAGATGCGTCACTGGCATGATTGAGGAGAAGGCCAATGGCTGCATTATGGCCGACGAGATGGGTCTCGGAAAGACCCTGCAATGCATCACTTTGCTTTGGACCCTTCTGAAGCAATCCCCGGATGCTGGAAAGAGCACAATTCAGAAAGCCATTGTTGCGTGCCCTTCCAGTTTGGTGCGCAACTGGGCCAACGAATTGGTCAAGTGGCTCGGTGCCGATGCTGTCACACCTTTTGCAATTGACGGAAAGGCGTCCAAGGAAGAGCTCACGCGACAGCTGCGTCAGTGGGCTATTGCGAGCGGCAGATCAGTCACAAGACCAGTCATCATCGTATCTTACGAGACTCTTCGGCTGAACGTTGAGGAGCTGAAGCACACCAAGATCGGCCTTATGCTTTGCGATGAAGGCCATCGTCTCAAGAACGGAGACAGTCAGACTTTCAGCGCACTCAACAATTTGAATGTCACAAGACGAGTCATTCTGTCTGGAACGCCCATTCAGAACGACTTGTCCGAGTACTTCTCCTTGATCAGCTTCGCTAACCCGGATCTCCTGGGTACTCGGCTCGAGTTCCGCAAAAGATTCGAGCTTCCGATTCTCCGTGGACGTGACGCCGATGCCCTCGAGTCTGAAAGGAAGAAGGGCGACGAGTGTCTGTCCGAGCTCTTGGGCATTGTCAATAAGTTCATTATT